TGGGCACCTGGTTACAAAATCACATGCATTTTTAATGCCTCCTCCAGTCTTACATTGCTTGGTGAAATTTGGTATTGTTTAAGGCACCAGGTAATGACAGGAGTGACCTGCAGGAGCACATGGCTTGTCCCAGGAAAAGGACTGGAACTCTGTAAGAATTACTGCAGGAAAGGGTGAACGTGAGATATTTATAATGATTTGAACACTGATCCTGGAAAGGATATAATCAGTATTTCCCCCACTTCTCTCTGTAGGAAGATGCAGTATTTTTGTTCTCTAGACCTTTTGAAATTTTTTTCTTGCCCATTTTTGACACTTCTATTGCTTCTGTGGTGAATAAAACCTCCTCCTTCAGAAGTTCATTTTGCAAAAGTGCTCCATTTGTACAGCTAATGCTCATCTTTCCCTCTCCATTGCATCTGCCCTGCAGATCACTCACTGGGCAGTCCCATAAAGAAATGGGGATTCAGTTTCCACCTTTCTTGGCAGAAGTTACCCCTCTCAAGCCGCAGACATTTTAGTGTGTGTAGCTGGTAATAAAAGATTTCAGAAATTCCTGCCATGTCTGCCTCAGAGGTAATAAACCTCTGAAGGAACGCAGCAGAACGCAGTGTGGTGTCTGGTTTGAATGAAAGGAATGACTGCAATTCATATTGCTGCTGTCGATGTTTGTCAGTCTCTTAGTAAAAATGAAACTCAATGAAGATGAAACTTTGTAAGAACGAAAGAAATATCGGTGGCCGAGAAATCTTTTTCCAGAGCTCAGAGCTGCCTGTCCGTGCAAGATGTCACGGCTATCTCGCTCCCAAGGAGAAAACACTCGCTGAATGAGGATGCAAGATCTTGCGGAGCGTATGCGACTGCATTAATTTGACAAAGGCGATGAGTGTGCATGGAAGCAGGCACGGAGCCGCAGGCATGCAGCCGCTAACCTTCCCTCGCATCCCCTCCCTCCTTCCCCCGAACGGCCCGGGGGAACCGGGACGCGGGCAGGTGCAGAGGCCGCTGCAGCGGGCCCGGCGCAGCCCTGGCGAGGAGCACGGCGCCTCACGGGGCGGGGGGGCTGTTTGTTTGTTTCCTGCCCCATCGCCTTTTTATGACCGCCAAGAGGAAGAAGCCTTCAGGTCAGCCGGAGAACTGCTGGCCCGGCGGCCGGCGGACAAGGGCTCCTTTGATCGGCGGCGAGCGGGCACGGGGAGCGCCCGGGCTCGGATGTCCCGGCCGTGCGGGAGCCCCGCGGCGCCGCCGCTGCCCGCGGGCGCTGAGCGCCGCCAGCCTGAGCCGAGCCCGAGCCGGAGCCGAGCCTGAGCCCGCGCCCCAGCCTCAGCCCCAGCCCGAGTCTGAGCCCCAGCCCCAGCCCCAGCCCCAGCCCCAGCCCCAGCCCCAGCCCCAGCCCCAGCCGGCGCCGCCTCCCCGCGGGCCCCGCGGGCGCGGACCCGCCGGCTCGGGGCGTCCCCGCCGCCTCCGCCCGGCGCCGCCCGGGGATGTGCGAGGCGGCCCCGCGGCCGGAGCCCTGCGAGCACCAGCGGGTGAGTGCGGGACGGGGCTGCGGGAGCGGGGCGGCACGGACGGACGGACGGACGGACGGACGGGGCTCTGCGCGGCTCCGCAAGCCGGGAGCTGGCAGCCGTGCTCCCCGAGCCGGGACGCTGGGGCTGGGGCCGGGCTCGGCCGGGGGTCGCACCCCGGGAGCAGCGCCCCGAGCCACCCTCGGGGCGCCGGGACCGGCCCGGGCAGCGGCTGCGGCACAGCCGAGCGCCCTCCCCGCCCAGGGCGGCCCGGCCCGGCCTTAGGCGCCTCCCCGGGGGCCGGAGCCGCGCTCCGAGTGCTCCGGGGATGTGCAGAGCTCTGGGGATGTGCAGGGTTCTGGGGATGTGCAGGGTTCTGGGGCTGCGCCCGGGTTCCGGGGTTGTGCCGGGCTCCGGGGCTGTGCTCGGTTCCTGGGATGTGCAGAGCTCCGGGGATGTGCAGAGCTCCGGGGATCCGCAGGGTTCCGGGGCTGTGCCCTGCTCCGGGATGTGCAGAGCTCCGGGACTGTGCCCGGCTCCGGGGCTGTGCCCGGCTCCTGAGCTATGCCCGGCTCCGGAGCTGTACCGGGCTCCGAGGCTGTACCGGACTCCGGGGATTGTTCCCTGCTCTGGGGCTGTGCCGGGCTCCCGGGATGTGCCGGGCTCCGGGGATTGTTCCCTGCTCTGGGGATGTGCCGGGCTCCGGGGCTGTGCCGGGCTCCCGGGATGTGCCGGGCTCCGGGGCTGTTCCCTGCTCCGGGGATTGTTCCCTGCTCCGGGATTGTTCCCTGCTCCGGGGCTGTGCCCGGCTCCCGGGATGCGCTGGGCTCCGTGCCGTTACCGTAAGAGCAGCAGCCCCCGCAGGCTGCCCGGCGATGCCCCGGCTGGCACGGGACAGGCTGCACAAGTTAATGAAAACGCAGTAAAGTATTCCTGTGATGTGCTACATTTTCTGTGGAGGCGACGCTGGGAACCAAGTAAGCCACAAACCGATTTTAACTAACCCATCCCAAATCCAAAAGCTAATGAATTCATTAACTCCTTCTGCCATCTAGATCAGCATCTGGCAAAACATCTTCAGCTCTCTGTGGAGTCTAAGCTTTAGCAGGCAGAGCAGAGGGGATCACATAAGCACCAGGAGAAGTGTAAGAAAACCAGAATACCGAGGCTTGTATCTGCTTAAATTATTCCTACAGTTTCGCTGTGCTTGCAGTAGCACATAAAGCAGCTTCTACCTGGTGGTCGTTAATGCAGATGGGTTCAACTCTCCAAATAACTAGAAGTAAAAATTCGTCAGATGCCTTTAGACAGAGGAGCTCTCCTGCAGGAACAGAAAGATTAGCTCGCTTGGAAAAACGCAGATGACTGCAAAGAACACATTTACACATGAAAGGTGCAGTGTTTCCTGCTGCTCTATGGAACTGTATTTTCAGTGCTCAAAGTCACCACCAGAGTCAGGAGATAAGCATCATTGCTTCAGTGAGGCTCCAAGTGCTCAGAGGATTCCGGAGACTCGGCACTATTTAGTCCATATAAATAACTTTTCTTTTGCTGCTTAATATGACTGGAAGTGAGAAGGGGATAATGATTAATTTGCTTTTTTATTGCCTATGAACTTCTAGCCCATAGTTAATGCAGGGCAGATTTCTCACTCTTTTGCACATTTCAGTGGGATTTCAGTCCTGTGCCTCAGAGACCACTGGCTCATTTGACCAAAAATCCTGTTCTTCAGAGAAAAACAGCAGCTGATGAGGCACGTGAAAGTAGCTGTGCTGGTCCCTGTAGGTGCAGAAAGACAGAGGCTGGGAAGACCTCAGGATTCCAGCCTCCTGAGCCATGGAAGAGCTGCAGTTCTGGCACTGCCAGTCACCTCCTGCGGCTTGAAGTCCCAGGAGCAGTGACAGAAGGGCAGATGGACATGCAGAAATAAAATATCCTCTCATTTATGTAGAGGAACAGTGAGAACTTGGTGGTCCAGTGAGCCACCAAGATAGGTGTTGGCAAACTCATGCAACATGAAATCTCTCTTACTTACATCTGTGGGATATTGGCCATCTTTAGTTTATTAATAAACATACACTTTAGGGACCTGTTTTTGCAGCAGAGGAGCCTCATTCTAGGGGAGGTGGACATCAGAGGAAGGAAGAGATTATTGGAAACTAAGGAATGTGAATCAGGCAGAAGACTAAGGAAAATAATCAGGCAGGAGTCCAGTAGAAAAGCAAAGACTGGAGATCTGAGAGATTGCAGCAGTTTGAGGAGAGTTTGAGTTGGGATGAACACAGGGCAGCAATACAGCTAAGCCAGTTTAAAATAATGAAGTTCTGAGTCTTAGACTTGACTGGATGCAGAGCCTGAGAATGGTCCCTCACTGACTTCTGCAGAGAGGGAGAGGGTGTAAGGAAGGTTGGCCTTTGTGTGAGGGGTCTGGTGAATGTAGTGTTCCCATTATTTATCCCAGTGAATCTCTCATAATCTTTCTCATTGAATGGAAAGGGTGTGGACTGCCTGTGGATGTAAAGTGCCCCAGGAAATGCTGGCAGGGACTCCCATTGTGAAATACTGAGAAATACATTGCTGTGTGTAGGGGTTGGAATCGCAGTTGGTGGAGGAAAGTCTGGCCCTGGATAAGTGGGAGCAGGTGGAGGGAGGGCCCAGAGCTGCCACCACAGCACTGCAAAGGTGGCCCAGTTCCCTCTGAAGAGCAAGAGGAGGAGGAGGAGGAGGATCTCCAGCGCTGCTGCAAGGGCTGCACGAGTGAGCGTGAGCTGCTGCCAGCGGCGTTGCGTGACTCCGGAGAGCCGGGCTCTAACCTCCAAAGACAGCCCTGCTCACAGCTCTTTAAAAATTGCTGTGAACACTCACTGTCTTCAGTGTGAGTTTGACAGGCTCCCAGCAGAGCCTGGGTTTTTTTTTTCTATTTTTAGAGCCAGCTGTAAAGCTGTAGTCAAGAACTGCTTACATAATATTTTAGAAGTGACAGCGAAGCACAATGGCATATTTTGACCTTTGGCATTAGATAAGTAATTGGCAGGTTAAGTTAATTTTTATTCAAGCAAAGAGACTTGCTTTTTACTGCTTGTGAACTCCTGTACCTTCACACAAGATTAAACTCCACGGGTACATTTTAAAAATAGGTTTTGGTTTGCTGGCCTTCCTTTTCTGTGTGGTGTGAAGGAAGCTCCTCCACGTGAAGGAACTCCACTCTTCTGCTCTCCATCCATGACACAAAGTGCATGGTACGTGAGTGTGAGTGTGAGTGAGTGTGTATGTGTATGTGTGTGTGTGTGTGTGTGTGCACGGGCCTGGCAGAGGGCAGGATTCTTCATTTCCTGACAGCCCAGTAGCATTACAAACAATTGGAAAACTCACCTAGAAAACACCTTTGTTGTGTGCAGTTGAGGAGCCGGTTTCAAGCCTGTGACTCAGGGTAAGCGCTCAGAGAATATTCCTAATTCACTCAGTGAATATTTCTCTTCCAGACACTGGGTTATGGGCAAGTCAGAAAGCCAGATGGATATAACTGAAATGAATACTCCAAAACCAAAGAAGAAACTGGGATGGAGTGGCCTGGAAATAGGGCTGGCTGTGGTGGTGCTGCTGCTGGCCATCGTGGCCATCACCATGATCGTCCTGTACGCCACGTACGACGGTGAGTGCATGGGGCTGCCTGGGAGCAGGGGTACAGGCAGGGGAAAGGGCTGGGATGGCTGAAATGTGAAGCTGCTGTACCTGGGAGCACAGGTACAGGCAGGGGAAAGGGCTGGGATGGCTGAAATACAAAGCTGCTGTACCTGGGAGCACAGGTACAGGCAGGGGAATGGGCTGGGATGGCTGAAATGTGAAGCTGCTGTACCTGAGAGCAGGGGTACAGGCAGGGGAATGGGCAGAGATGGCTGAAATGCAAAGCTGCTGTACCTGAGAGCACAGGTACAGGCAGGGGAAAGGGCTGGGATGGCTGAAATACAAAGCTGCTGTACCTGGGAGCAGGGGTACAGGCAGGGGAATGGGCTGGGATGGCTGAAATGTGAAGCTGCTCTACCTGGGAGCACAGGTACAGGCAAGGGAATGGGCTGGGATGGCTGAAATACAAAGCTGCTGTACCTGGGAGCAGGGGTACAGGCAGGGGAATGGGCTGGGATGGCTGAAATGTGAAGCTGCTGTACCTGGGATCACAGGTACAGGCAAGGGAAAGGGCTGGGATGGCTGAAATGCAAAGCTGCTGTACCTGGGATCACAGGTACAGCAAGGGAAATGGCTGGGATGGCTGAAATGCAAAGCTGCTGTACCTGGCTGCCTGGAAGCACAGGTACAGGCAGTGGGAAGGGTTTGGATGCTGGCTGAAATGTGAAGCTGCTGTACCTGAGAGCACAGGTACAGGCAGTGAGGAAAGGGCTGGGATGCTGGCTGGAATGTAAAGCTGCATCCACATGGATTGTTGCTGGAAAAACTCAGAAACTGCCTCTTTCCAACTGGGACTCGGTGGATTCGTTTGTTCATGCAAAGTTGTGGTAAACACAAACCATCTGCTTGTTCTGACTTAGGAATACTTCTGTTTGTAATTAATGCTTCAGTAAGCAACGATCCCAACAAAGAACAACATTGCTGAAGAAAACCAAACTCCAGGGCTCCCTTTGTGTTCCTATTTTTTCCTTTTTCAGGCTCTTGCAGCAAGGACTCTCAGTGAGTGTAGTCATCCTGAGAGGTTTTGTGCTTCAGTAGCCAGAGCAAAATAATTTCATTCGGAGGAAATACATTGGTAATTTTTGGGAAAGATAATACAGAGAAGCTAAAATTTCCATCTAGGGTCAAACTAGAATTTTTCCTTATATTGGAATTAAGTGGGTTTTTTTAAATTTTGAAGTACCTAACAGTTGTGCTTAAGCTTTTTATTGAAGTATAGTTCAATTACGGGCTGGAAAAATACCATTATTGGGGAAAAAAAGAAAGTTTTCTTTTCAAAGTCTCAAATGGAAATATTTTCATATTCCTGAATCCTGTATTTTGTTCAGAAGACTTCAGAGTGAATGTCTCAGAATTTTCATATAATTCCTTGAAAATCCTTTTGTCATTGTAAAGCATTGCTAATTTCAAACTGGCTTTGTCATTCTCTCCAGTCCTTGAGCTATTTTTCTCTAAATTGCTTCTCTGTTATAAAAATAGTATTTTGCCCACCTCCAATTGATGGGTCATTTTCCTCTGATGACTACAAAAATTCCACATGATGAGTGACTAGCACTGAATGACCCTAAAGGGTTGAAGATGATGATATTTTTAGAGCCTGATCCTATAAATATTCCCTTACTGACTGTAAGGTGTCCATTCACATTATCTTACTGTACACTGCAATTAAATTGACTGTCAATGGAAATAACTACAGTAGATTTTATTATATTGACATTCAGTAAATAATTAAGAATATGATTGTATTCTCTTTTAGATGGCATTTGCAAGACACCAGACTGTATCAAATCAGGTAAGAATGAAAATACATATGTTTTAAATCAATTTATGTGGTTTTAAACAAAATTGCTACCAGGGAATTCTCCCACCTAACTGCAGACAAGTAATGGGAGCGTGGGTCTGCAACCCCACATGATTTTCTTGGCATAGTCCTTCTGCAAAAGTAAACTCTGGTGCTATGATATTGTCAATCTTACAGAGTCCTCCTCCATGTCCAAGAGATTCTGCCTGTTATAGTCTGGCAAGCTGCTTCATCCTTCAGTAACAAGGGCAGCTGTTAAAGAATCCCAGGGACAGAGCACCATGGAGGCTCCCAAAGGTGCTGATTCACAGACACCTTTTAGGTACACCTTGCAGGTAGAGCAGAGCCAGCAGAGCAAAGTCAGTTCATTGGTGTCCTCATTCCATGGGACTGCTGGCTGCAGGTGCTGTTTGAGCAGGGCAGGCCCCAGGGCAGCCCCTCGTGCCAGGAGCTGCCCAGTGCCATCAGGGTCATTTCAGGTTATATAAGGTTTGTTATTTCCATCACTGTCTGTTCACTCCACTTCCAAGGTGCTCCTCTCCCAGCATGAAAGCTCATGCTGCGGTTGGGAAAATGATCCAATTAGCTCTCTAGCAGATTGTTTTTAATCTCTGATGATGCTCATTTTCAGCTGAATGCACATTGCTACAGGGGAGTTCAGACAGGGTATGGGATGGTGAATGAACTCCAAAAGGAAAAGCAGGAAAAGTTTGGAGAAATGAGGCACAAAGTAGCAAGAAGTGCCTGAAATAATTAATCAGAACAATTTTGCTCTTTCATGCTTCTGTTAAATGCTTTAACAGCATTTACCCACTGGAAGGGATAAAGTGAAGATACTGACAGATTTGATTGTTCATTTTGAGAGAAGAGCAAATAAATGACCAGAAGAAAAAAAAAGTAGTAAAATAAGTAATGAACAAATAACAAAGAAAAAATGTAATGAGAATTCATTGGTTACACCCAGGGTAAATACCAGTAACTGCATGGCACTGTCTTCCATGGATTTGTGAGGCCACTGCAGTGTGGCACAGGAATATACAATGCAGTTTGTACATTTGAGCATTTTTTGGATAAGCTGACACACTCTGATGACTTCCCTGAGCTCAGGCAGCACAGCCTGATGGAACAGGCTGGGATTTTGGTCTCAGTTTTTTTTTTGGTCTCTCTTTCTTACCTAGGTAAGCATATTGTTTTCTCCTGAATCCTTCCCAGGTCACTGGTTGCTTTGCCAGCTCATATTTCTTTATTTGTAAGCTATTAAAGCAACAACTGGCAATCAGGAGTACTACAGTGAGATTAATCATTACTAGTAGATGATATGAAGCTCTACATTCTCAGTGCCAGGTAGGAACTGAGTAAACAAGTGACAGTAGGAACAAAGCCTAACTCTGGTTTGTCACAGCAACACTGAGCACTGAGGAAGAGTACACTGTGTATTACCTGTATTTGTATAGGTATAAATCCACCTGGCTTAGAGATAAAATAATAAAATATTTGTAACATAATCGATTATAATATAATTTAAAATAATTTATTATAATGTGTCTGTGGTATCAGCCAAATAATGAATGGTTATCTTGGGGCTCAGGTGTGCAAGTGGCACTCTTGGGGAGAGTATTCTGCATGGTCATACTTACTGAATGTACTTCACATGCAGCCCTAAATGAAAGACCATAGTGCCCACAGCTGAGCCCTTCCTGGTACTTTTGCAGTATTTAGGCTTTAGGTTCTGATCAAATTGGATAGCTGATATTGGCTGGGCTGGACACTGGAGCAGGAGAGCTGTGGGAGATGATTATTTCTGTGTGGCACATTGGATTTCCCAGGAGCTGACTCCAAGCAGAGCAACCTGACTGCACAGTTCAAGCCAGGTTTGAGATTACACCGTTAATGATTTCTCAGATTTAAGCAAGACATGGCTTTCTCCTGGCTTTTGTTGTGAGGTTTTTCCAAAGGACAAGTCCATGGATAAGGGCCATCTTGTCTTGGTGTCAGAAGATGTTTCTGTCCTGCTGTTACTGTTTGGCAGGGCTGGGTGCCCACTCCTGGCTAGGAAAGTCTGTGCTGCTGGGCTGACACATGCCAAGGGCATCCAAGGGACAGGGGCTGCCTCAGCCTGGCAGAGAGATCAGAGGGATGCCCTTAAAACAGGAGATGGTAGGAGTAGTTACAACCTTCCTCTTTCACAGCAAATTGGTGGAGTTAGGACAGGAATAAACTGCAGCATTCAAAACACTCCCCTTCCCCTAACTGAAACAGGGAAAAAGGACAGAAACCAGCACCAGAGCTTCCAGAATCCCAGAGCACCTGGGGTGCAGCAAGTGTCACAGTTAGTAAGAACATGACTGAATTTCCCAGTCTCTGGCTGCTGGCGTGATCCTGTGTCCCTTCAAATAGAAGTCACCCTGAGGCCATTGACTTCAGAAAGGAAACCATCACTAGGAGGCTTTGCATCTATTTCCACAGTGGGTTTTATGCTACAGAAGCAGTCTGAGGTTGAAAATGCACCTGTCCATGGCTATTTCCATCTTGCAGGAGCTGGAACATTGTAAAATCATCAGATGTTGGCCTAGAATGTAACACTCCTGAGCCAACAGAAAAATGGGGCAGGCAAACCAACACAAACACCACAGACTGTCTCTCCATTTCCACCAGCACAAGAGACATGGAAAATATTGAAAGTACTGGAAAAATAACTATAAATATTTGACTTGCCCATGTGGAGGAATGAACACTTGAAATCACAAGCCTCATAATTTACTAAAAATAATGTCAGAAAAATGGGAAGAATATTCAGTATCCTGGGAAATTCAGAGGTATCCCTAGCTCCTGCCTGACTCCCAAGATCTCCCTTTTCTGTGACAGACTCTGTTCTGACACACTGGTGGTAGAAGCAGTCTGGGTGGGATAGGAATAGGTACAGGGAGGAGCCCAGGGGGTTTATGGGCAGCAGCTGGGAAGCTGTGATCAAGGAGTTGGATTTCACTGAGAATCCCTGTGAATTCTCTGGTCAGTGACTGGCCAGTCCTGGACAAGCCACTCCAGGGAGTCAAAGGGATAGCAAGAGGCAGGATCAGCTCTAGAGTAAAATGGGGAGCAGGTCTAATAATGAGTGTAGCTTCCAGAAGGCATTAATAGAAAAACCTTTCCTGACAAGAACTGAAATAGTCCAACAAAGCCAGTATTTGATTGAAATAGACAGGATTGAACTGAGTCTAAATCATACTTAATGACCAAAATTACATTACAGTGAATAATTAACCTGTGCTATGCCTTGTGCTTTTCATGTCCCTTTTCACCACGTTTCAGTACAAAGAAGGCCAGGTGAAGAGTAAATGAAACATCCTACATTTTATTTAGAACCGAGTGACCACTCACAGGGAGCAGGAACATCTGTCAGTTTACCACCAGTAAACACAGCCAACTGGAAAGTGTGGCAGTGTGGTCAGCACAGGAATAGCAATTCCTTGTTCGCCGCTGAGAACTTTGTTTGCTCTAGAACACCCAAGTACGCTTGAGCCTTTCCTGAACTGAGTACATTTATGACCTCCCTGCTGAGAGACAAGGTGCAGTGTGTGCAAAATGTGTCTGTGTCTGCAGCTGCCAGGATCCTGGAGAACATGGACCCCAGTGCCAGACCCTGCCAGGACTTCTACCAGTACGCGTGCGGGGGGTGGCTCAAGAGGAACGTCATCCCCGAGACCAGCTCCCGTTATAGCAACTTTGACATTTTGAGAGACGAACTAGAAGTTGTTCTAAAAGGTCAGTGCAGTTTGGGGACTAAATAAAGTTTCTGCTTGGCCTTACGTGTTATCCCAAGAAGTTGTAGTTTTCTAGCAAAGCTTAAAATACTACCAGATACTTCAGGTTTTTTGTGTTTGCTTCAGGACAAATGTACCCCAAAGTGTTTGAGGGCTCTGGGAGTGTGCTGCTGTGTCTGACACTGGAGCAGAGCTGAGCAGACCTGCCCTTGCTGCTATCTGCAGATAAGACCAGCTGCAGTCCCCACCCTGAGCCTGCCCAGCGACAGCACCTGGCAGGTGCAGGAGGAGGAGGAGGAGGAGGAGGAGGAGGAGGAGGAGGAGGGAGCGGTCTGTCTGTGTCCACATCAGCTGAAAAGCTGCAAGCTGCTCTCTGGCAGCCCATGCCCTGCCTGTCTGTGTTCCATCAGAAAGCCCAAAGAGCAGGGCAGCTATTTCCCTACCTGCCGTATCAACAGTATCAAATTCTTCACCATCCCTTTTTTCAGGTGAAAATAACAGAGTCCAAGAAGGCAGTCTGTACTCATGTAACACTCTCCAGCCCATTCTCTCCAGGCTAAATATCCTTTTTGTTTTTACTTTGCCTATCTCCTGGTTTTGTCAGCTGTGTCTTCACACAATAGCCTGGTTGCTTAAAACCTGTCCCTGAGGAGTCAGAGCATTGTATTTCACCCAGGGATCCTAGAGAGTTATCTACTGGCTCTGTTCCACATCCCAGCACAGGCTGCAGCCACTGCAGGGCCCTTCACCTGCAGAGCTTTCCCCTCAGCTGAAGGGCAGAGCCTCCCTGGGCTGGGCACAGAGCTCTCCTGGCCCAGCCCTGCTCCTCAGAGCCTGCCAGCACGAGCAGAGTGACCATGATAGAGCAGGAGTGACCATGACACAGCAGGAGTGACCAGCATGGAGCCTCTCCTGGCCCAGCCCTGCTCCTCAGAGCCTGCCAGCACGAGCAGAGTGACCATGATAGAGCAGGAGTGACCATGACACAGCAGGAGTGACCAGCATGGAGCCTCTCCTGGCCCAGCCCTGCTCCTCAGAGCCTGCCAGCACAGAGCAGAGTGACCATGATAGAGCAGGAGTGACCATGATAGAGCAGGAGTGACCATGGCAGAGCAGAGTGACCATGGCAGAGCAGGAGTGACCATGGCAGAGCAGCAGTGACCATGGCAGAGCAGCAATGACCATGACAGAGCAGCAGTGACCATGATAGAGCAGCAGTGACCATGACAGAGCAGCAGTGACCATGGCAGAGCAGGAGTGACCATGGCAGAGCAGCAGTGACCATGGCAGAGCAGCAGTGACCATGATAGAGCAGGAGTGACCATGACAGAGCAGCAGTGACCATGGCAGAGCAGCAGTGACCATGACAGAGCAGCAATGACCATGACAGAGCAGCAGTGACCATGGCAGAGCAGGAGTGACCATGACAGAGCAGCAGTGACCATGACACAGCAGCAGTGACCATGGCAGAGCAGGAGTGACCAGCACAGAGCAGCAGTGACCATGACAGAGCAGGAGTGACCATGGCAGAGCAGCAGTGACCATGGCAGAGCAGGAGTGACCATGACAGAGCAGCAGTGACCATGGCAGAGCAGCAGTGACCATGACTCACTGTGTGTGTTTCAGATGTCCTCGACACCCCCAGCACCAACGATATCCCAGCAGTGCAGAAGGCAAAAACCCTCTACAGGTCCTGCATAAATGAAAGTAAGTGTCCCCTGAGGCCATTGCCTACAGGATACCCCAGCAGCACCCAAAGGGTGTCCCATTCTGTGCATCCTTTCTCAGATAATATCCTGTGTGAAAACTGAAATGTGTCTATTCTATAGAGCCCAGTCAGAATGCCAGCAGTAACACTGGTGTTGTACCTCCTGCTTTACTACCTTAGGTGTTTTAGGCAACTCTTCAGTTACTAATTTGCTGCAGATACATAAACTCAAAGCCTTTCAGTTAAATGGGAGTTAACTTCTTTTGTAGAAGCTAGCAGGGATGAAGTGAAAGCTACCTGGCACACCAGGCTCTGCCCCTAGAACAAAGAGCAGTGAAACAGTTTGCAGTGCTTCCTAAATCATATCTTTATAGTTTCTGTAATAGTATGAATACTTTTCAAAACTATTATTTCAAGCTATCTGCAGAGAGAAAAGAAGAAAGTACTTCAATGTCATGGTCTCAAGGCTCTGCATATGCTGTTTGTGACTGGAACATTTTTACATTAAATGTTAAGGCACAGTCATACATCACAGCAAACTGCTGCTGTGGCGATGGGGGAAACTGTTCTCAGCTTCATTTTTCTGAACTCATTATAATATATGTGATAATATATAACATTTGTGGGGTTTAAAATGTCATGGTAACTCATTTTGTCTTTTCCAAAAGCTGCTATTGATCTCCGAGGTGGAAGTCCTCTAATTAGTTTATTGCCAAATGTGTCTGAGTGGCCTGTAGCAACAACTAACTGGGATGATTCCTATGGTGAGATAACCTGTGCTTATTTCCTTTTTGTGAAAATATCTGAATTATTTAATTTATTGCTTACTAAAAATAGAGACTGACTATACCTTCCATTTGCTTAGGTACTGCTTGGACAGCTGAGACAGCTATTGCACAGCTCAACTCCAGATATGGAAAAAAGGTCCTTATTAATTTTTTTGTTGGCACAGACGATAAAAATTCCACAGCACATATCATTCACGTAAGTCTGCCTGGGTGCCATGGCCTTTTGATCACAAAACTGCAGCAAATAACTGGAAGCACAGACATAAAAGTTAGCAAGGAGAAATATCAGTGATCCGAATTTGACCCGAGTACTCTGTAGATGAATTTGTGAGTTAATGTGGTTTTCAGCTGGGACTCTGGGTTTCACAGCTCCCTGTCTGCTCTCCCAGCTGACAGCTTTGTTCTGTGTGCTCCTCCAGTGTTACTGCCAGTGAGACAGGAGTGACAGAGACAGAAAGGTCACCTCTGAAACCTGAACATGCAGACAGGGCAGGGCTGGGATGCAGCAGTCAGGGCAGCAAGGGCCAATCTCTCCTGCCAGGGGTGGATGGGCCCTCACGTGCAGGGATTCCAGAGATGCAGGAGCTGCCTGGCTTGTCTCTGGGCTGTTCTGTCACCTGTGGCTCACCTGTTGTCACACTGGCTGCCAGTGCCTTGCAGTGTTCAGCAACAGGAGAAGAAAAGATTGAAAAGAAAAAAACCAAAAAGTTTAACAAGAATTAAAATAGTTGGGCAAGGTGGGCAATTGAAAAAGGTGGGCCACAAGAAGAGAGAGGAATGCCACTGTGGCCAGAAAATAATCTGTCCAGTGAAGCATCAGCAGCTGTAGTTACCAAAAGAAGAGTGCAGGGCTCTGCCATTTCCCCTTGAGCACTTCTGGTTTTTCTTTGCCTTTACAGATCGACCAGCCTGGGCTGGGGCTGCCTTCCCGGGACTACTACGAGTGCACTGGGGCATACCAAGAGGTGAGGGGCAGCTGGCACACCCTGGGGACACTGCTCCTGTTTCAGCCTCTATTTTCAAGGCAGCTCCTTGACTTTTTAAGACCCTTTGGAAGGAGATAAAACATGAAACAAATTAGCTTTGTTACAGAGCATCACAGCTTCACAGCTGGATCAAGAGCTATCCCCCGACTGTCAGAGCTGTATTTAGGCAGAATACAAGTGGCCATGAGCAGCCCTGTTGTGTCACTGCAGAAAGGAGGTCACTTCTGAGCTGTGGCCGACTGGCAGCAGCTGCTGCAGGTGAACTTCCACCAGGAACAGGCTTGGAGGAAAAACAGAACACTCAGAACCAGAGAGACACTTTGCTGCATGAAAGATCTGAAAAGATCACAGTCTCCTGCCCCAACTGCTGAGCACAAACAAACACAGCAGCAAAAGGATGTGATAGCACAGAAATGGCTCAGACACCTGAAACCTTGCATGGTCTCCTTTAATTCTTGTTTGCTCATTACTTCTGTGGGTCTCATTAACCTGTTAGCACTGACACTGTATCCCTGTTGCTAATCTTGGATGAGCTGTAAGTCCTTGAGAGCTCATGGGTGTCTGTGCTGAAGTCATGGAGCTGAAACTGCTACCACAGTGACCTTTAATTAACCACATTCCTTCTGTGTAATTAAATGCAGAAGCAATGAGAAAGTGTGCAGGCCGTTTGGGCTTTGTAGGTATTTTGCTGATGTGCCAACAGTTAATAGTGATTACATTTAATTACAGATCATATGCTCATTAAGACAATCATTGCCATCTGAACTGCCCAGTTCCATGTGAGATGGCCTTTAGGAGCTGACTCACATTGCACAGTCTGTGCCTTCCATGTGTTGTGTTAACTGAGAGACCATTCCTGTCCTCTGACCTACCTGAGTATCAGCTCGGCACTGCTGGAAAGTGGAGGAGGCAACACTGCTGGAAAACAGCTTTATCATGGCAGCAGGTTCCCAGTGTCCCAGTGTCATTGCTCCACGCAGAGCTGCTCCCTCCCAGCCCTGCTCTCCTGTCCTGGCTCTGCTTCCTGCTCTTATTCCACTGCAGGAGCTGCACACAGCAAAACCATCTCTGCCTCCTCTGTCCCCAGCAGCACTGCCCGCCCCAGAGCCACAGCTGGAACCTGCCAATGAGATCATTTCAAAATCTTTTTCTCTTGTAAGATACAGGATGGCTCTGCTCACACAGGAGGGATTCCAGTCTTAAGTTTCCACTGAAATTGCTGAGCTATTTATACAGTCCAGATGAAATTAGCTGACTTAGTTCTTTGCTACCTGACTTCAGAGCTGCACTTAGCAGAAAAATAAAGTCACTGATTGGTACCTAAAAATCACTGGTTTGAGGTAATAGCTATATTGAATTTCATGATGGCTGCTATGCACTGTCTTTGTGACTTGTTGTAGCTGTCTGTGGTTTCATGGGCTTTTCTATTTCTGAGGTGATCTCTCCTGCTTGTAACTGGCCCTGGGAGTTGAGCCCTTTGGGCAGCTGAGCCCCGTCCCTGTCCCTGTCCCTGTCCCTGCTGGCAGCCCCAGGTGGGCACAGCCCCAGGTGGGCACAGCCCCAGGTGGGCACAGCCTGGCCCTGCTGGCAGGGAAGGTGCCCAGGAGGGGACAGGGAACGATTGCTCACATGCAGCACTCATTACAGAGGTGTGTCCCCTGCCTTAGGAGCTGAATGTACCAAAATACTCCTATCAGTAAAGCTGATGACATGCACACCTTATTAATCCTAGCTTTAATCACTGCTTTGGTAGGTTATGTTGCATAAAACAGATTTATTATTTGATAGCTGATCCAGCACTGTGCATGGCTTTTTATTTGCATTGAAAAGGAATATTGAAAACAGCATTTCTGTTGATAGAAAAATGAGTGTGACTTACAAATGAGGAACTAGAATTACAAATAATAATGGAATTACAATAAAACAGAGATCCCATAAAATATAATGACACCTTAAGATATTTGGCTGTGTGGTATTTCAGATAATTTGCTGCTGTATTTACATTCTTATCATCACCGAACTCTTTAATGCTAGATTTCATATAAATGGTCTGTAGTATACCTAACTTTGCATACAGCAATGTGAGTTCTAGCTGTTCCAAGAAGCACTGGGGGAGGTTCACAGCTTCTGGGAGAGCTTTTCCCACAAAGCAAATTCCCTCGGTTTATGTTCCTGGGAACACAGCTCTTTGGAAATGGTATTTTTGGAAGTTGTAATTAAAGTGAGCTAGAAAAAACACGGGTGACGGTTTAAATATGGACATACAAATGTCTCATTCTAAATAATGAAAACAGGGCAGTCATTGGGAGTGTTCAGCTTTGAACAGTGCTCCAGTTACCCAGCAGGGCTCCATCAGGGAATGCTCACAGTTAATTTCTAGTTGTGACCTAACAGTATTTCTGATAAAATTGACCTGTTTAAATAAGGAATGAAGAACTGTAGTTCATAAAAATGAAGGTGAAATCTTGGAGATAATCAAGGTGTGCTCTCCTTGGAAGAGTTTTGTCTTTAAACTGTTCCTGTTTTTTCCTGCAGGCATGTTCTGCCTATGTTGATTTCATGACTTCTGTAGCTAAACTAATCCGACAAGAAAGAAATATTCCTGTCAATGAGAGCGACATTTCTGCACAAATGAGAAGAGTAATGGAGCTGGAGAAAGAGATTGCCAATGTAAGAAAAACTTCTTTAAACTGTCCTTTAAATAACTGGCTTTTTTCATAATACCAAAGAGAGCTGACTGTGCAGTGAGTGGTTAAGCTCCTTGCTGCTGCTGTTTCGGGGGAGTAGAAATGCACAGAGCCTGTTACACCTGAAGGAGCAGCTGTGTCCTGGGAGGAGCCAGGGAAAGTATCTGAGGCAGCTGTTTCCCAAACAACAAAATGTTTTATCCTGATCTGCTCACAGAAGCCTTGCAAGAGCAGAGAGAGACAGACTTGGGGTTTGGTTAATGTGGTTTAGAGCGTGAGTTTTGGGAGATGCTTCGAACAGTGGGGCCTCTCCTCCCTTTGTCCCGTTTCCCTGTGGGCTGTTTGGATCCCAGAGCAGCAGATTCCCAGCCCTTGGCCTGCTGTGAGCACAAAGTCATGTTTGTGCTGCACAAGCTGCTCCACAATGCTGATTGTTCCAAGGGCATTTTTTACCAAACACTGTTCTCCCTTAAAAGAAAAGGGCAAAGGAAAAATAATATCATGAATTTGACTTTGGAGGAATAGGGAGGGATTGAATGTGCATGGAGAAAACCAAAGGCATTCACGAGCAAAGCGTGGCTCATTATTATTAACCATTGTAGCAGGACCTGAAGCTGAGGGTGACCATGAAACAGGCTGAATACATATTTTATAGCTTCAGCTATTTTTGAAGTTACACTGATAGTAAGGTCACATACTTGGGAAAACCATTTATATAAACTAAAGCCATCTGATTTGGATTGTCTTCATTTTCGTGAGAAACACACCTCTGGGCCTGGATCAGAAATGGGCAATTATTATCAAAAAGGGAATTCATTGAAGAAAGGCTTTAAAGAGGAGCATGAGGGGAACTCATGCCTGCAATGTCCCTGCAGCAGTTGCTGCTGGTGGGGCCCAGCTGGTGCTGGGGAAGCCACCACTGCCTGGGATTTTAACCTTTCATCCAAACCTCAGCATCAGCCTCAACGTGAATGAAGAGAGCTGGCATTGTGCTCTTGGGAGTTTGTTTAAAAAACACAGAAAAAAACCCACTGAATGCACAATAGAATAGGAAAGAGGAAGCGGAAGAGAAGGATGAAAAGAGGCTTGGCATAACTGATTTTTCAAAGCACTTGAAAAGGGTAAAATCTGCTGCTGTAGATGCAGATGTTGAACTCAGCAGTGCAAAGTGCCAGTGCCCAGAGCAGCACAGAGCTGGGTGAGCTGGGGCTGTGCCTCCCCAGCAGTGCTGTGGGTCACAAAGAACACACAGGGCAGCAGCGCACCCTGAGCAGAACCAAAACTCCTGGGAACTCACTAATACACTCAGTAATCTTCTCCTGATTAACTCTGGCAGGCAACAACAAAATCTGAAGACAGAAATGATCCACTTCTGCTGTACAATAAAATGACCTTGGCACAACTCCAAAAGAACTTCTCACTGATAATCAATCATAAGGTGAGTGATCAATAACCTGGTATTTAACCTCTAATTTATCACTGATGGGATTAAACAATGAAGCCTGGATTTTTTTTCTGTTAAAGACATATTTGCAATTGAACAGGATCCCTGATGTGCACAGTCCTTCTTGCTCTTCTGATGACACTGAGCTGTATGCACATTCTGTACCCACTGCTTCTCCTAACCTGAAGGTGCATCTTCCCATTGGCCTCACCATAAAAAGATGGAAAAGTACAAAGGAAAAAACCATTTCCAGTGGGAGGTGTCTCTGCCCATGGCAGGGGGTTCAAATAGATGATCTTTAAGATCCCTTCCAACCCAAACCATTCTGTGGTTCTCTGATCCTGTTCCTTATCCTCATGGGTTTATGGCCCAGGACTGGAGTCCAGCCTGCAGCCACCAGCTGCTTCAGGGATGTTGAGTGAATACTCAGCCCCGCTCTGTTCATCCAGAGCTGCAGATCCAGAACAGAAATCCAGTTTGTCCAGCATTGCTTCTGTAATTATTGCTCCCAGGGCAAGCAGCAAGCAGCCCAGGCTGTCAGGCCCATGAAATAGGGCAGCTCTCCACATCCCTCCCACTGCAGCTCCCCCGGGATGTGCCAGCTCTGCTCTCACCTGGAGCCATGTGCTGTTTGTGAGGGCAGCCTTTAGCTCATGGCACCAGAGAGCAGCTGAGAACCAGCCCAAGCTTTGCTAACACCGCTCTGTCTCCCCAGGAACATAATGTCGTACTGAACATGGGCAGTTTTTATTCTCATGACTTTTATTGAGGTTTCTGAGGCCAGTAAGGTGCAATGAAACACTGTTATTCCTGGCACTTTTTCATATTCACTGCAATTTTATTGACTTTAATTCTCTGACAGTTCCCTCCTGCCTGGTTTAATTGGTTTCATAATTCACCGTCTCCCACAGGTGTAGTTGGTTACCATTACAGTCATCCTGTCAGAAAACAACAACTCCTGTCATGGAGTGGCATTGCCCTGGTTATTATTAGTGCCTGGGGGGTGCTGCAGATCAGCACTAATTTAAATTTATTCCAAAATGCTCAAAAGACACTTGATGGGAGTTGGTAGTGTTGTAATGTCTAAGGATAGAACAGCAATTATTCCCAGGATTAGCCTGGAGTTTGCTGCTTCTCTCCCAGACCTGCAGTGACTGCTCCTGAAAGCTTATCTGCTCTCCTCAGCTACCTCCACTTGTCTGATGGAAGACATTACCTCTTCCAATAAACCTTTCCAAAGACACAGGCAGGGAAAAATCACCAACACTTTTTAAAGTAATAGGCAGAACAGAAACTTTAAAAATTAAAAAAAAATTGTGTTAGTTTGGAATCAAAGCAATTTCTCTACCCCTTCTGCCAAATACCCCCCTATGTTAACAACATTTCTAGAGCTATAAAATGATCTCAGGCCAGATATTATTACAATGACCCCATTTATAAGTAGTGCAAATATTAGGGAAACTAAAGGCAGAGCAGCTGTGTCATGCAAACATACTTAAACTGTTTATGATCGAACCCTATCATAATGCATGTTGATTTTCCAGGAGTTCAACTGGTCAGAATTCATAAATGCCATCATGTCAACTGTGCAAATCAACGTTGACAACACGGAACACGTCATTGTTTATGACCCTGACTACCTGCTCAACCTCAGGTCTGTTCTCCTAAAATACTCCTCCAGGTAGGTGTGTTGAGTGTGGTATTTGCATTTTCTTTCCAGAAAACTTCAAAAGCCTCAAAACATCACCAGCTTATTGTGGTTGTTTTGTTAAACAGAGACCTTCAGAATTACATGGCCTGGCGGTTTGTCATGGATCTTGTCAACAGCCTCAGCCGGGACTACAAGGACACAAGGAATGCTTTCCGTAAGGTGCAGAAATTCACCTCTCCCTAAGTTGTAATGATGGCTTTTGTGAGCCACAGAAGATAGTTTTTTTATGTAGGTGTAGGATATAAATATTTAATGTATTTTGGATTTTGCACACAAAAGCCAGATGTGTTTGCTGAGCCTCTGCTGGAGTGTATCTATAATTTATGGGATTTATGCCTGATAGCTGAGTGGATTTGAAAGCACTGCTCTGGTACCTGGTCTCTTGTTTTTCTGAATCTAAATTAATCCCCATTTTAGTATCAGAACAGTCACATTTATTTGCAAGGCATTACAGTTCTGACTGACTTGTTAGAAACTCTTCATCATCCAAGGGAATATATTCGAGGCAAACATCATGGCCCCAATCCTGGTTTCCAGTCCTTCGATCCTGCTGACAGCTTAGTGCTTTTAAGGAAATGCTGAGCAATTTCAGCAACTGGGCATGGAAGTTCTTTGTATTCCCACAGCAGAACTTCTTCCTTTGTAAGAGTTTTCCTAGTGATCCTCCTGTTAGCGTGAGTGCAGCTAAGTGCCCTGGCCGGGTATGGACTGGGTGTGTGCACGGAGGTGGAGGAGCTCCTGTTTAGCCCTGTTTACCTGCTGTGTGTCTCCTGTTTAGCCCCGTTTAGCCCTGTTTAGCCCTGTTTAGCCCCGTTTAGCCCCATTTAGCCCTGTTTAGCCCCATTTAACCCCATTTAGCCCTGTTTAGCCCCATTTAGCCCTGTTTAGCCCTGTTTAGCCCCATTTAGCCCCGTTTAGCCCCATTTAGCCCCGTTTAGCCCCGTTTGCCCTGCTGTGTGTCCCACAGGCCCTCTACGGCACCACCTCCGAGAGCGCCGTGTGGCGCCGCTGCGCCAACTACGTCAACGGGAACATGGAGAGCGCCGTGGGCCGGCTCTACGTGGAGGAGGCCTTTGCTGGGGACAGCAAGCACGTGGTAAGGCCTTCAGCCCCTCAGCCCGAGTGTGTCACCCTGATTCTTTAAGATTTTCTAAGCCTTCTGATGTTTGCATTCTTGTAATGAGCTTTCTCACACACTTTCGGTAAATAACTCACTGTTGTGTGTTCTTTTGTGGAAGAAAGAAATTTGGTGGACTGTTGGATTGTCCAGTGTCATTGGAGAGGTGGCACTGTCACCCTCCAATCCACTGTCACTTTTAGAAATCTATAAATGTTAGAGTCAGAAAATAAACTTCCCTTGTTTCACCTTGAGAACAGCGCTCGTGTGGTGTCCTGTAGTGACACGAGTGCACTCCATCAGGGGCATTAAGTATTTAATCATCCTCTGTCTAGGCTTTTATCCAGTTTTCACAGGAGATGGTACCTTCATCACCACCATGAGTAATAGGAGCCTCCTCAAGCCAGGTCTCATAAGCTCTTGGAGGTCTATCACTCACCTAAGATAGATCAGCTACCTTTGGAGACATAAAAATAGCAGGATAGCTTCTGTTGCAGTGTTAGAAACAAAAAGGTTTAATAAAAGGCAAAATAACAACCAAAAAAAAAAAACCCGAGCCAAGTGCAAGAGATTTTTGCTCCTAGTAAAACACCTCACAAAAGCAATTAGTTTCTTTGTTCTCTTCTTTTTCTAGTAAATTGCCCAAGCAAGACTTTTTAGCTTCTATCCAATTAGCTATCCTTAAGTTTGAAGTCCCTTAAGCCTATAAAGTAGCTTTTTCACCTAATCAAGGAAAGAAATGTCTAAGCTCTTTCCTTTTTAAAAAGACAAAGAATAGTTTTGTCCCTCCATCAACAAAAAGCACATCCCTATAGCCATGCTCTTCCTGACACAGCTTTGGTTGCACTTTCTATCACAGCTTAATCAAGGTGGGCTTGATTTTCAATGTCAATACCGGTTATTACAAAGGTTTAAAAATGCAGGTTTTTACCAAGTACAGTGTGAAATGTGAGGCTTGCAGGTGCGCAGCTGGAGGGAAGAAGCCCTGCCTGCTCTCTGAGCCAGGTGCATGGGCAGCTGTGCAGGAGCCCATCCTCACATCCCAGGAGCTGCCCCCGCTGGCACCAGCAGCCGCTGATTCTCTGAGAGTGACACAGTTCACATCCTGCCACCACTGGGCACAATTGGTTATTTCTGTTCGCCTCCAGCCACACAGAAAATTCCTGAAAATGGACCTGAAGTGAAGCCTTAGTTGAGTGCGATCACCACTGGAATCTTGGTGTGAAACCACCCGTTTCTGGGCTTGGCACAAACACAACGATTCCCTCAGATGCACAACATCCAGTGGGGCAATGTCTATCAGGTTATGGTAAACCCTGCATGACTGAACTGCATTGCCCACCCTCTTACTCTGTGGGTTTGTAACATTCTGGTGTTTTTTCCAGGTTGAAGAAATGATTGCAGATATACGTGATGTTTTTATAAAAACCTTAGATGAACTTCCCTGGATGGATGCAGAGACCAAAAAGAGAGCAGAACAAAAAGTAAGTTCTGTCTGAAATATTGGTAATGTGTAGTTCTATAAAAATCAGTATTTAAATTGTTTGTCCTGACAAAAAATAAGCAGTAACTTCTATATTATAATACCAACAAATTTATAGTTATGCTTATATAGGCACAGCAGTTTAGGACTCCAAGGGAAGGGGCCTCTGGAGACAGGCACACAAAATAGGAAGAATCTGCCTACAAGAGTGAGACCTTTCAGGCAAATCGGTGATTAAGGAGCTAGATAATGAATATCTACAGGAAAAGAATACTGAAAATGAGAAGGAATGATTTCTGGTGATTTTACCAGCTATTAGGAGGAACAGGATAAAACCCATAAACTTGTGCTTTCAGTGAATAAAAAATTTAAACAAAATCTATATATAATTAACATCCTGTGGTTTCTGCAGTGGCTTCCATATTGCCTTTCTTATATGATTTATTATTTAAAAACATGGCTGGATTTGCTATGGATATCAAATTCCCTTGTCCCTAGGCAATAGCAATTAAAGAGAGGATTGGTTATCCCGATGAGATCGTGACAGATGACAACAAGCTCAACAGTGAGTACCTGGAGGTAAGTTTGCACAACAGGCAGGGGAATTACAAAAGGGTTTTCAGAGAAGAAAAGGGTCATTTGCTTTCCTTGCCCCACTGGCCCGTGCGTGCCCAGCTGCAGGGGGAAGGGGGGAGTGTGACCAGCCAGCCTGGGATGTGACACGAGATGGGACACGCGGATGTGCCTGGCCCTGGTGGCATTCCAAGGACCACATTCTGCTGGGTTATGTGAGGGCAAGCTCGGAGCCAGTGGAGCTCAGGGCAGCATTCCCCTGGCACAGAGTGGCCAGCACTGGGGCAGTGCCTGCACAGGCATGGAGCTGGCTCCGTGCTTTGTCTGAGCTGGAGCTGCTCTTACCAAAGTGGCAGCTGCTGGTCTGCAGCAGGCAGCTCCAGGGGTTGAGGGCAGCACCAGCAAGGGCTGAACTGCACTCAAAATATGTCCAGAAAGAGAGAATGAAGAGCTCTGGAAAAAGGACCCAGCTGCTAACATAGATCCAGCTACAATATCAACTCTGTGATGTAGCAGAGCTCTGCAAACCGAGGTCTAATGGTAGATAAAAAAATGTTCTTAGAAATGTGTTGCTTCATACTTAAGACTAGATTTTCCTGATCCGTGTGTCTTTTATCCCAAATCAGTAACACCACCACTAACTCCTCTTCTCCCTTTCTTTTTAGTTGAACTACAAGGAAGAAGAATACTTTGAAAACATTATTCAAAATTTAGTATTTACCCAGAAGAAAAGGTTGAAAAAGCTTAGAGAAAAGGTGGACAAAGAGGAGTAAGTATTTAATAATACTCTGTCTAGTCTTTTGTCCAGTTTTCACAGGAGAAGGTACCTTCCAACTTCAAATATTCTGTGATTCTGTTATACAGTTTCTAGGCCTATTCTAGCAATCATTAACATTGCCATTAACAATTGAAATACTAACGTTTATTCTTCTGGTGTTACCAGGTGGATAAGTGGAGCTGCTGTTGTCAATGCTTTTTACTCAGCAAGTAGGAATCAGATAGGTAAGGTTTACCTATTTATTGTTGCCCAGATTATCTATTTTTTTATATTTATTTATTATATAAATATATTAATTTTTTTTATATTTTTTATATATGTATGTATGTACTTTTAAAATGAGGGACTGAAACGATCTTGTTATAACAGATTTGAGTATAAAGATTCCTCATGTCAGGCTACCCATCCATGGCTACCCATCCAAAACCATCCATGGGAATAAAAAGCCCTGTCCATTCTGGCTAAGGATTAGAACCACATGGAGGCCTCGAGGTTTCTCATCTTGTGAGCCATCCCAGCCCCCTCACAGTGCTGCAAGGCTTGCAAGTCATGAAACATTTCACAACATTAATTATGCATCTCAATATTTCTGTCACGTCCATTCTGCAAATAGTGTTTAAATTTTAGTCATCCAAATGTCACAGACTGCAGTGTCCTTTCCAGGCCATCACTGAGGTACAGTGATCCACCCGTAATTCCTGAAAACAAGTCTAAGAAAATGGAAAATCCTTGTCCTGCAGGGCTCTGCGCAGAAATGAAACAAGATTATTTCTTGATGTGAGCATTTAGCTCTTGACTGAACAGTTAACACAAAAACTTCCAGAAGGCTTTGTTTGAAATAGCTTTGTTCAGTAATTTGTAGGAAAGGAATCATGATGTGGAAGACTGAAACTGGTGACTGGCAGTTAATGTGAGTCATAAATTCTTACCTCATCCTTCAACTATGGCATGCACAGGATAATTAAAGCAGTCTGATCTTTAGAGTGATGTCTGAATTAGAACTAGACTTTAAAAACCCTCTGAAGAGCAGTTCTGTGCATGGTGTGTAGGGAACCTGGGGCTCTGTGGCTCCATCTGGGCGTGGTGTGACCTGCTCTGCTCCATCAGCAGTTCACACCACGAGGAACCCACTGAGCTCCCAAAGAGCAGCTGAGCTGAGCTGCGCCAGGCAGCCCTGGTGTGTTCCTCAGGAGCACCTGGCTGAGGCTGCACAGCCCCGGCCCTGTCCTGGGGCAGAGCTTCCACAGGCAGCAGCTCCAGAGGTGGCTCCTCATGCTGCTGACACCCTCTGTGCTCCCTGATAGCAGATAGAGCAGTGGGACAGTCATTCCACAGCAAACTAGCACTGGGATTGTGCTAGAGGAGCCAGAGGTGGCTCCCCATGCTGCTGACACCCTCTGTGCTCCCTGATAGCAGATTGAAATGGGACAGTCATTCCACAGCAAACTAGCACTGGGATTGTGCTAGAGGAGCCAGAGGTGGCTCCCCACACTGCTGACACCATCACTGTGCCCCCTGATAGCAGATAGAGCAGTGGGACAGTCATTCCACTGCAAACTTGTGCTAGAGGAGCCAGAGGTGGCTCCCCACGCTGCTGACACCATCACTGTGCTCCCTGATAGCAGATAGAGCAGTGGGACAGTCATTCCATAGCAAACTAGCACTGGGATTGCTGTGGCAGCAGCTCCAGAGGTGGCTGCTCTCACTGCTGACACCATCACTGTGCTCCCTGATAGCAGATAGAACAGTGGGACAGCCATTCCACACCAAGCTAGCACTGGGATTGTGCTAGAGGAGCCAGAGGTGGCTCCCCACACTGCTGACACCATCACTGTGTTCCCTGATAGCAGATAGAACAGTGGGACAGTCATTCCACTGCAAACTAGCACTGCACTGGGGCTGCTGTGACAGCAGCTTGGACACACAGCACAACTGGCTGATTTCGAACCTCTTTGTTATTTTCTGGTTTTCCCATGGCTCTTTCTTGTCCTGAAAGAAAGCCCTAGAACTGAACTGGATTTATACTGAAATGCAAGAAGTATCAATCTTCTTTCTTCTGCTGTGTGAGAATTGTCACCCAATTCTGTCTGTTTAAGTTGTGTAGAGCTACATCCACCTCCTTCCCAGGGAGAATTAAAACTTCATATTGCAGAGGCAGCAGGGAGACAGGAAAAGGCCTTCAAAATACTAAGTGGAACTGAATATTTTATAGTATTTTATTACTCTTAATTTATAAAAAGATCAGAATTGCAACATGGTTTCTTTTTAAATGAATTATTTTGTAGAAGAAGTCTAGAAAAATGAGCAGAGAAGTGGGTAAATGGAACTGCTTTGTTCCAGTTCTTTTATTGACAGCTTGGCCTATTTTTATTGATTCCAGTGGGAGTTACTTGTATTTTCAAGGGAAGAATAAATTCCTGTCTCTGAGATTGATTTGTGATGGAATGATCAAATAATCTATTCTTCTGGGGGGACACCCTCCCACTTCTCACAATGTTGTGAGGTTTGTTTAATGATGAGACTGAAGTCTGTGAATGCTAAGTGATGTAAATTGAACAAACTGCTTTTTCCTGCAGAGCAAAAGCGTAACAAAGCAAAAGCTGGTCGTGGTTTTGGAAGTGTCTGAAGAGGGGGGGTGGTCCTGCTGCTCTGTTTCTCCTGTCCTACAGCATTCCCACGTGTCAGGCACTTGTTGCTGCTGGGAGATCCCAGGGAACAGGGTGGTTGGGGTTGAAGCCCATAACCGTGGCCTGGCCCCACTGTACCTGCAGGGTGACGGGGCAGGGCCCTGACTGTGCTGTGCTTCCTTTTCCGTGTTAACTGTGCTTCCTTTTCCGTGTTAACTGTGCTCCCTTTTCCATGTTAACTGTGCTCCCTTTTCCGTGTTAACTGTGCTCCCTTTTCCATGTTAACTGTGTTCCCTTTTCCGTGTTAACTGTGCTCCCTTTCCAGTGTTAACTGTGCTTCCTTTCCAGTGTTAACTGTGCTTCCTTTTCAGTGTTAACTGTGCTTCCTTTTCTGTGTTAACTGTGCTCCCTTTCCAGTGTTAACTGTGCTCCCTTTTCAGTGTTAACTGTGCTCCCTTTTCCGTGTTAACTGTGCTCACTTTCCAGTGTTAACTGTGCTCCCTTTTCCATGTTAACTGTGCTCCCTTTCCAGTGTTAACTGTGCTCCCTTTTCCGTGTTAACTGTGCTCACTTTCCAGTGTTAACTGTGCTCCCTTTTCCGTGTTAACTGTGCTCCCTTTTCCATGTTAACTGTGCTTCCTTTCCAGTGTTAACTGTGCTCCCTTTTCCATGTTAACTGTGCTCCCTTTCCAGTGTTAACTGTGCTCCCTTTTCCGTGTTAACTGTGCTCACTTTCCAGTGTTAACTGTGCTCCCTTTTCCGTGTTAACTGTGTTCCCTTTCCAGTGTTAACTGTGCTCCCTTTCCAGTGTTAACTGTGCTCCCTTTCCAGTGTTAACTGTGCTCCCTTTTCCGTGTTAACTGTGCTCCCTTTTCCGTGTTAACTGTGCTCCCTTTTCCGTGTTAACTGTGCTCCCTTTCCAGTGTTAACTGTGCTCCCTTTCCAGTGTTAACTGTGTTCCCTTTCCAGTGTTAACTGTGCTCCCTTTTCCGTGTTAACTGTGCTCCCTTTCCAGTGTTAACTGTGCTCCCTTTTCCGTGTTAACTGTGCTCCCTTTCCAGTGTTAACTGTGCTCCCTTTTCCGTGTTAACTGTGCTCCCTTTCCAGTGTTAACTGTGCTCCCTTTTCCGTGTTAACTGTGCTCCCTTTTCCATGTTAACTGTGCTCCCTTTTCTGTGTTAACTGTGCTTCCTTTCCAGTGTTAACTGTGCTCCCTTTCCAGTGTTAACTGTGCTCCCTTTCCAGTGTTAACTGTGCTCCCTTTTCAGTGTTAACTGTGCTTCCTTTTCCGTGTTAACTGTGCTCCCTTTCCAGTGTTAACTGTGCTCCCTTTTCCGTGTTAACTGTGCTCCCTTTTCCATGTTATCTGTGCTCCCTTTCCAGTGTTAACTGTGCTTCCTTTTCCGTGTTAACTGTGCTCCCTTTCCAGTGTTAACTGTGCTCCCTTTTCCATGTTAACTGTGCTCCCTTTTCCATGTTAACTGTGCTCCCTTTCCAGTGTTAACTGTGCTCCCTTTTCCGTGTTAACTGTGCTCACTTTCCAGTGTTAACTGTGCTCCCTTTTCCGTGTTAACTGTGTTCCCTTTCCAGTGTTAACTGTGCTCCCTTTCCAGTGTTAACTGTGTTCCCTTTCCAGTGTTAACTGTGCTCCCTTTTCCAGTGTTAACTGTGCTCCCTTTCCAGTGTTAACTGTGTTCCCTTTCCAGTGTTAACTGTGCTCCCTTTTCCGTGTTAACTGTGCTCCCTTTCCAGTGTTAACTGTGCTCCCTTTTCCATGTTAACTGTGCTCCCTTTCCAGTGTTAACTGTGCTCCCTTTCCAGTGTTAACTGTGTTCCCTTTCCAGTGTTAACTGTGCTCCCTTTTCCGTGTTAACTGTGCTCCCTTTCCAGTGTTAACTGTGCTCCCTTTTCCGTGTTAACTGTGCTCCCTTTCCAGTGTTAACTGTGCTCCCTTTTCCGTGTTAACTGTGCTCCCTTTCCAGTGTTAACTGTGCTCCCTTTTCCGTGTTAACTGTGCTCCCTTTTCCATGTTAACTGTGCTCCCTTTTCTGTGTTAACTGTGCTTCCTTTCCAGTGTTAACTGTGCTCCCTTTCCAGTGTTAACTGTGCTCCCTTTTCAGTGTTAACTGTGCTTCCTTTTCCGTGTTAACTGTGCTCCCTTTCCAGTGTTAACTGTGCTCCCTTTTCCGTGTTAACTGTGCTCCCTTTTCCATGTTATCTGTGCTCCCTTTCCAGTGTTAACTGTGCTTCCTTTTCCGTGTTAACTGTGCTCCCTTTCCAGTGTTAACTGTGCTCCCTTTTCCATGTTAACTGTGCTCCCTTTTCCATGTTAACTGTGCTCCCTTTCCAGTGTTAACTGTGCTCCCTTTTCTGTGTTAACTGTGCTCCCTTTCCAGTGTTAACTGTGCTCCCTTTTCCGTGTTAACTGTGCTCCCTTTTCCATGTTAACTGTGCTCCCTTTCCAGTGTTAACTGTGCTCCCTTTTCCATGCTAACTGTGCTCCCTTTTCCGTGTTAACTGTGCTTCCTTTTCCATGTTAACTGTGCTCCTTTTCCGTGTTAACTGTGCTCCCTTTTCCATGTTAACTGTGCTTCCTTTCCAGTGTTCCCTGCGGGCATTTTGCAGCCCCCTTTCTTCAGTGCCTCCCAGCCCAGGTCCCTGAACTACGGCGGCATCGGGATGGTGATCGGGCACGAGATCACGCACGGCTTCGACGACAACGGTGAGGCCCGGGCTGCCCTGGCCAAGCTCCCAGAGCTCAGGGTGCCTGCCATGCTCCAGGGCTCAGTCCTTCCAGGAGCACCTAACGGGGAGCAGAATCCCCACGTGTAGCATGGAGCCTGCGTTTCTGAGGCATTACAGCATTGCTCTCCCAAGAGCACAGCCCAAAGCCTTACTCGCTCCCCTCCCCGCTGCACCAAACCCTCTTTTCTTGTACAAATAATTCTGTTTAACTCACTGCTACAGGCAGGAATTTTAATGAGAACGGAGACCTCGTGGACTGGTGGAGTGAAGAATCAGCACGGAATTTCAAGGAGCTGTCCCAGTGCATGGTGTACCAGTATGGGAACTTCTCGTGGGACCTGGCAGGTGGACAGAACGTAGGTCCTGTCTGGGGAGGCAGCACTGCTCACAGAGCTGCGTGGAGGGCACAGGCAGTTATTCCTCTCAGTTCCACTGGCTGCCTTCCTACAGCCTGACAGTATATTCCATCACACAGGACAGGGCAAAGATAAAACTCCCAGCCCTGGGGTTGTCCCAAAACATGTGCTGAAGTGTGGGAACTCAGAGACAGGCCAGTAAAAATAGAGAAGAAAATTTCAGCGTGTTTTGCTGCCCTTTTATTCACACATTAAATTCAATCAAATGATGATTCTAGATTTTGCAGCTTTTACTATCGTTAATCAATATGATGGACTAAAACTTAAAATAAGGATTTTTTTTAAATAGAATTAGAGGTTTCCCATTATCAAAGCTTCATCATCTTTGGTGCTATTTGACTGACTTAGGAATACCTGCTAAATAGAGATCTTCTACTTCTCTGGCTACCATGAAGCTACTGAACTTGCCTACTATACAGAAAAATACCTTCTAGCAGGTTTGCTGATGTCTGTTAACAGACAATTTCAGCAGTTTGGAGTTTGAATTTTAACTTGTTCTACAGACTACAGATTCTGTCCACTTCCTCTAACTGGAACTGTGGTAAGAAACTGAGGGTTAAAGACAAGGAGAAAAGAGGAAGAATAAATGAGCAATGACTAAGTAGCAGAAAATCTGGGTAAGAGATACAGAGCTGAGAAAGTTGCCTGGAGGGGAAGAGGATTAGAAAAACAATAGTATCTCAAAACATGGATTTTGAGACAAGGGACATAAAGACTTTTCAGAGATTTTAACATAATCTACTGCTAAACCTTCAGATTTTAAGGTAATTCTTGCCTTCAGAAACTGGGAAATACACAAAGTTTGGTGTTACAGGTCCTGGATGAGCTTTTTTTTTTGAAACCAATCCTTTCTATTTTACAGCTGAGTGGAATCAACACACTAGGAGAAAACATTGCTGATAATGGGGGTGTGAGACAAGCATACAAGGTAAGAAATATTAATTTCTCTATTTTAGCTGAAACTAGCAGAGATTAAGAAAGTCAGTTTCAGAGCCTTGGAAGAAGAAACACAATTTCTGTGTTAGGGACAGGACCAGACCTACTGTGCCATCAAGGCCTGCATTAAAGCTACAGGCCAGCTGTGGTACTTCTCTCACCCTGTTAATCATGTCAGGCTACAGATTACCTGATCCTAGGAAATTCTTTCTCAATTTTTCTTTCCTTTGTGAATAAGGAATGTGAGGAATGGAAACATTCACTGGCTGACACTTGGACCATGACCTAAAGAAAGTGCTGATACCAGCAGCTGTGTGCCTCTGGCTCTCTTTTTCACCAGGCTTTTCATGCCAGGAAGGAGGGGCAGGATGACTTTCTTCTGACCCATAGACATAAACACTTTGCTTTTCATCTTGCTCAGGTGACTTGGGCCCTCTGTCCTGGTACCCCAAGATGCCAGAGACACTGGACTCCCTGCACGAAGCCTTCCAGAGGAGCTGGATGCTTTCTGGCTCTGCTTTCCTTCTCTTCCCCAAGCAGCTGCTGGACTCCCTAGGTTGGCCACCGTTGAGACTGGCAGTCAGAGAGACTCAGGTTCTTTTAGTGAGCACAGTCTGCAAGAGAGCAGCCAGCCAGCTTCTCTGCCAGCTTTCCTTGTTATTCACAGACCTGATGGCGGCAAGCCTCAGCACCCTCATCCTCCTTCTCCTTCCCTGAACACCTTCTGTGGCAGAACACCCAAACTTGACAGCTGAGTGCTGTCACTGCCCAACAAAGAGCCTCTGGATGCACGGGCCAGCGCACGCTTCTCCAGCTCTCGCTGGAAATGGACATGTTTGAGGGCAAGCACAATTATTAATGAGAGTTTAAGGAATGGTTTGGAAGCCTAAAAGAGGCATCAGGCTTATTAGATTAGTCTGATCTTTGGTTACTGGAATATTTGTGCAAAGTACAAAGCCATGAAAGGGGATACGCTTTCTGAAAGGAATGGGAGTAGCCAGAAAAATTAGGTCAGAAGTATTAAAAATTATTATGACATCATATAAACAGTAAAAAAAGGTCCAGAAGGAATCTTGAGAGGTCAGTATCCCACCCCCCTCTCCATGCAGGTGGAATCAACCCCTTCTGCATCCTTCAATCTCCCAGAGGAGCATTCCTGCTGCCTCCTCCTGGCACTCCCAGTGCCTCCAACAGGGCAAACACTACAATCTGCTCCTTTCTCTCCTGTGACCTTTCACATATTTGAAGACTTACATGCTTCAAGGCCCAGACTTCTCTCCTTTAGACTAAACAAACCCAATTCTTTCAATCTTTCCTCATAGGTCATGTTTGCTGGACCTTTGCTCATTCTTGCTGCTTTCTTCTGGACTCTCTCCAGTTGGTCCACATCTTTCCTGAAGGGCAGTGCCCAAAAGTGGACAGAGCACTCCAGCTGAGCCCTGGCCAGCGCCGAGTGGAGTAGAAGGATTACTTCATGTATTTCATATAAGCCACTCCTGTTTACACATCCCAGTACAACACTGGCCTCTTTTGCAGGGCTGTGGCACTGTTGGCTCTCGTTCAGCCGTTATCCATGGAAACTTCCAGAGCCTTTTCCATGGACCTGCTATCTGCTCATCCCTCAGCTGTGCTTGGGCAGTTGATTGGCTTTACTCGCGCGTTGCTTTGGCACTGACTGCAGGCAGAACATTTCTGCAGCATCTTTCATCAGGGATGAGACACTAACAACACATTCACATTTGACACGTCTCCATTAGAAACATGAAAGCAGCTGCTCTTACTGTGCCAAGGTTTTAAACCTTTCTGCAATTCACTTTAAAAAAACCAAACCCCAAAAACGAGTGGGAAAAATCTCATTTTCATAGTGCAGCATTAGATAATTGATAGCACAGTACTGAGAAATGGCCCTGTTGTCTTCTGCTTCAAGGTGGCACATGTGGGATGGATGGCCAAGGGAGGCAATGATTAATTATGTCAAAGAATCCATGTTCCTCCTTGCCATCATTTCATTTTGACTGGGAAAATGCTGGAAGTGGTAACATTTCTACTCACTCCATTCTACAGGCTTATGAAAACTTTGAGAGAAAACACGGAAAAGAAAAACTCCTTCCTGGTCTCGACATGAACCACAAACAGCTGTTTTTTCTGAACTTTGCACAGGTATCCTTTACTTCTTGCCCGAGGGCTTTGAAAACCACTTGACATTACAGCTTAACAGCAAGTCAGAACAGGCTGACTCCCGTGGGCTAAACAAGAGCTGGCAGAGCTGCAGAGCTGAGCAGTGTTCACTGCAAAGCAGTGAAAATAAAGTCTTGTTAGCTGATTTTTATCTTCCCCAAAGAAATGAATTCAGCCTCTGGTAAGCCTGGTAGGAAGTGCCTTGTGCCCAAGTGCCTTTGTCTGAGGACAGAGACATACTTTTTTAACAAAATACACCCTTTTTTCTCTGTGTTCTGATGTGGAATTCATTCTCATGAACATCAGGTATTTCACAGTTAAATAACAGCAGGTCTCTTCCTGTACAATCTCAGGCTAACGATGCTTTTCTCTGTTTCCTGTGCAGGTGTGGTGTGGCACGTACAGACCAGAATATGCAGTGAACTCCATCAAGACAGACGTGCACAGCCCAGGCAGATTCAGGTCAGCAGAGCCAACACCTGAGGTGTGACACCTCTGCAGCCTGGGATCATAGTGGGGGAACTGAGGAGACCCTGCCCAGGGCTGGGCTGCCCTTCCCAGGGAGCTTTAGCATGCACACAGCACAGGCAGAGCACACTGGAGGAGGGCTGGGCTCTCTCTGTCCCTTCCAGCACTGCCCAGACAGGCATAGCCCTTCCCAGGCAGCTCCACAGGCAAAGGAAGGATGTGGGATCATTGTCCCATCCTTGAGAAGATCCAGCCTAATTCTGTCCACGCTATGGAGCAGCTTTGAACAGCCTCCCCCCCAGGACACGCAGCATCACCTGGCTGCCACTGTGTGACTGTTACTGCAGAGTCCCAGGGACTGTGTCTGGGATCCAGGGCTCACCCACAAATCCCAGCTCCCACAATAGCTCCTGGTAGGGTTCTTGTACACCAGCAGCACTGATGAACTTTCATCCTCCCCTGGAGTCACGGGTAGAGTCAGTGGGAAATCACTGCCCTCCCTCCTCACAAACTTTGCTGTGGCACAACAGGGATGTGCATTCTGTGCCTGGTGTGCCCAGCCAGCCTTCCCAAGATCAGCTGGGCTCAGCTCAGTGGAGCCATGCAGGAAACGTGGCTGCTCAGGCCAGACTAGGATCTTTTCTTTTCCTCTGAAGTCAGAGCAGCCCATTCATCAGCAGCACCAATGTGCTCTGATAAACCTGCCTGGTCCCGTCCCGGTATCAGTGGCAGTGCAGCCATCACAGCATCTGCTGGGAGGCTGAGCCACCTCCAGGCTCCACGTCCACCACAGCCAAGCTCTGTGCTGATACAATCCACTGCATTAATTCCAGTATCTTTCTTCCAAGGGCTTTCCAGCAAGCCCTGTTTACCCCCCACGCTGGGATATTCAGTGAAAGCAGCGACTGTTCCTCGCTGTTCCTGGTGCTTCCCCGTGGGTGGGTTGTGCTATCTGAGATCTCTCCCAGAGGCACTTTGTGCACCAGCTCCTGCAGCCGTTCCTGTCTGCTCTCAGTGCTAATGAGGCTCCAGAGGCCCCTCAGAACCTCAGCACATCTGATCTGGCCGAGGTACAAGGCCTTTGAAGCCGGCTGGTTCAGCATGCCAGTGCAACAAGCTGTGTTTGTGTGTACCCTGGACACGTTACATCGTGCTGTGCTCTCTGCACCTCGGTAGGACAGGCATAAACTGGACATGCAGGGATACAAGTGTTCATGAGAAACCTGACAACATCCTCAGAGTGGGCAGTCAGTTACAGCATGAGGCCCCCTAAGAGCTCTAAAATAGAAAACATTTCATGAGACATACCCACAAAATTAACACCTAATAAGATACTACAGAAGCGTCACGGAGGCTCCCCAGGTGCCTCTTTTGATTATTATCTGGGGAGTGCAATGAGCCTTTTCAGTACCTGCTACACTGGCTGGGGGCTGCTTCTCCCTGCAAGTGGAACAGGCAGCTCCTCGTAGTAATTGTTAATTGCAGTGCATCCCATTTTAGCAGTCCTTGTTCATTGGGGCACTGAAGCACAGCTAGATCACCAAAATGCATGAGGTTTCTGATAACCCTTTTTCTGTGCCATCTCCTCCTGTTCCACTGCTGGCTCCCAAGACCAGGGAGTCACTTTTGGCCTTTTAGAGCAACTGAAGTATTGCAGGTGTCACTGCTGAGCTTCACCTCAGCTTCTGTGGGCACACCCTGGTTCTGAGGATGAACACAAATCTCAGAATAATCATGAATTACTCAAAGAAACAGTTCTTTAAAGAACTTCTGGGCCACAATCAATGTCCATCAGTGTCTGTATTTGACCTGTTTCCCTGCATAGGTATGTGCTGCTGTGTTCCCAGTCCTGAAGGAACAAGTGACTCTTAGCACACGTGTTCACAATTACACATGTAAATTCAGCCTTAGCTGGAATGGCCTCATACTCACTCCCCATGTTGAGTTGAAAGCCATTGTTTGTATGAGATTTTTTGCCAGAAAACTCATTCACTGGAAAATCTGTGCAGAACGCCCAGAGGAGCAGCATGATCTCAGTTAAAACCTGCTTGGTGTAAAAATGTAAATGAACATTCAGAGATGAGTTACCACCACAGCCCTTGACCTCAGGGTCTTGTTTTCCCTTCACCAAGACGCTTGTCAGGAAAATGGAGCTGAAAAAGCCCTCAGTGAAAACTACTGACAATGAGAAAGCTGTTCTGGGGGAAAGAACTGGCTCATGAGAGCCAGCCCTGAGGAGGGGACGGGCCCTGTATTTCTGGGGTTGCAATAGGGGCAAGACAAACTGAAGGAGAAAACACAGCCAGCCCTTGAGGTGAGATGAAGCAAGTCAGAGCCCAGCAGCAGGGCGTTCCCCACACTACACTGAGGTGACACAACAAAAACAAGTTACAAAATACGGGTCATGTTGTTTGTTTCAAACCCAGGCGTGTTGATTTGTTTTTAAAGGGTCCTGGGGTCACTGCAGAACTCCCCAGAGTTTTCAGAAGCCTTTTCATGCACCACGAGAGACAACATGGACCCTGCCAAGAAGTGCCGTGTCTGGTGACGGACTGCAAACCTCACATCTCAAGGAGCTTTCCAGGAAAAGAGACCTTTCCAGCTGATTTTGAGAGGGGGAGGAGGGAAGAAAGCTGAGTGCAATGTGCTGGAGACATGTCTGTAATCCTTGGTAAACGTGCAAACCCCAAATCATGGCCGTGGCAGCAGGGAAGGCACCGTGGCTGCCCGGCTGCTTCCCCCCAGAGCCCGCAGGACCTGACCCACCTGGCAGTGCACACTGCAGCTGTAAGCCTGCCCACAGCCAGTGGGAGGGAGTCCTTTGGAAATGGCAAAGTATGGCCCATGATCTCCCCGGGTGGGTGAATGCAGATTTCTGACCAGGGCAGATGGAAGTGCTCAGTAACACACATTTTAGCCACCATAACACGACAGAGAGACAGCAGTTCATATCCCAGTGTCAGACTCTGTACCCTCTGCTGTTGCAGAAAATCTCTTCTACCAAATGTTTTCATTTGTACTTGAAACCATTTATACAAGAGGAGTCCAAAGACCTGCTGTACTTAAGTAACTTCTCACTAATTACTCCAGCGTGTATTACCTGAAGTCTCTATTTACAACAACAGTTAATTTACAGCTTTCCAGCCCAAATGAAATCGTAGGTAATTTATTAATTTCTGTACCTATAATCTGTAAGATTGTGATCAAAGATCCTTTCACCATTTTCTAAGCTTTATCTTGCTTTCTCTAAAGTCGCTCTTTTTTAAAGTTTCTAGTAATGTATAAATCATAGTTTTTATATTTAAATCTTGAGCTACACTTTTGACTTGAAGTATTGTAACATATTTTATCAATGGCTGCATAGAACTGGGAAATTGGACTAAAGCATGGTATCGGGCAATAAGATAAAGCCTACAAAACTGAGTTCTCCAATGGAGGGCACAAACATGGGAGTTTTCAGGCTGACTGTCAGTGCTTAGGCTCTGATCCTGCACATCACTTGTACGTGTTCTGATCAGTGTCTGTCCTCACATCAGCAAAGCTGCACAGCTGATTGCAAGAGTCTGAAGGAGCTTTAAGTAAGAGGGTAAAAGGCTTTAAATCTGCAATGATATGTATTACACATCCTCATGCAGATTGCAAAGGAACTTACTGCTTTGTTTATCAAAGCAAAGACATTCACAAACCAAGTACCAGATACCTCAGATGACTGCTACAATAGGTCTATTTAAAAACCTATGTCCTTTTAGCTGAGTTTGTCATCTGATCAAAACATTTTGATAATAAACTGAAATTATGAGCCAAATGCAGTGAGTGTTCTTCATAGGAATTATGAAAACACAAATTCTCTGCAAATAGATGCCCGTGCTTGCCCCCGAGCCCCACAGTCAGAAAACACAGACCATGAGAACAAATCCCTCTCACAGCCCCCAGGCCCGGCTTTGCACCGGAGCGAGCCTGTTACAGAGAGGAGAAACCCAGAGCGCCTCTGTTTTCACACAGAAACCATCATTTCACACAGGACCCAACGCTCCGCACAGCTTTGCGCAGAACAAGGACCACGAAAAGCCTCCGGTGCTCGGAGGGAGCTGGAGACGGAGAGCGGAGCCAGGCGGGCCCTGCACAGGTGAGGGAGCGCCCTCACCTGCGCTGAGCCCGCGGGCCCGGGCGGCTCTGAGGGCCCCACCCGCCACTGACCCCGCCCGGGGCTCCTACCTGAGCCGGGATTCCTGCCTGAGCCGGGATTCCTGCCTGAGCCGGGATTCCTGCCTGAGCCGGGGCTCTTTCCTCAGCCGGGGCTCCTGCCTGAGCCATGCCCGCCGCGGGCCGTGCCGTGCGGGGCTCCAGGTGCCCGCAGGTGCGGGGCTCGGGGCTCACACCGGAGCGGGGCCGGGGTCCCGGGGCTCGGGGCTCACAGCAGAGCGGGGCCGGGGGTCCCGGGGCTCACAGCGCAGCGGGGCCAGGGGTCCCGGGGCTCGGGGCTCACAGCAGAGCGGGGCTGGGGGTCCCGGAGCTCTGGGGCTCACACCGGAGCGGGGCCGGGGTCCCGGGGCTCTGGGGCTCACACCGGAGCGGGGCCGGGGGTCCCGGGGCTCACAGCGCAGCGGGGCCAGGGGTCCCGGGGCTCGGGGCTCACAGCAGAGCGGGGCTGGGGGTCCCGGAGCTCTGGGGCTCACACCGGAGCGGGGCCGGGGGTCACGGGGCTCTGGGGCTCACACCGGAGCGGGGCCGGGGTCCCGGGGCTCGGGGCTCACAGCGCAGCGGCTCCGAGGGGCTCCTGAGGGCGGGGGCAGGTGAGGCGGCGCCCCCCGCGGAGCGCACCTGGCGCCCCCGCCCCACCCGCACCGGGACCCGCCGCGCGCTGTTCCCTTTGCGCTTCCACCCAGAGCAAGGCAGGGCCCTGAGCCCCGCGGGGAGGTTTGGGCCATGGCGGGGTACGCGGGCACAGGGGAGCCCAGGCGTGTGAGGCGCTGCGGGGCAGCAGCCGGGAGCGGGTGAACACCTTCCCTGGGCGGGGGTCAGCCGCTGGGGCAGGAGGGACACAGCAAAGAGCCCTGGAGCCGCTGTGCTTGGCGTGGGGCTGGGAATGTCCCACATCAGCTCTGCTTCACAGGCAGGTGTTACCCCTGTCCTACATCAGCTCTGCTTCACAGGCAGGTGTTACCCCTGTCCCTGTCCCACCCAAACTCTGCTTCACAGGCAGGTGTTACCCCTGTCCTACATCAGCTCTGCTTCACAGGCAGGTGTTACCCCTGTCCCACCCAAACTCTGCTTCACAGGTAGGTGTTACCCCTGTCCCTGTCCCTGTCCCACCCAAACTCTGGTTCACAGGTAGGTGTTGTCCCTGTCCCACATCAGCTCTGCTTCACAGGCAGGTGTTATCCCCAGGGCTCTGCTCTGCACCAGTCATCCTCTGTGTACACCAACACCTTTAAATGGGATTATGAGCACTGAAAGAATATAAACATGAGCCTGGAGGTTTCCAGGATGCCACATCCCAGGGCATTGCGGGGGGAGAGACACTCCTCCTTACTTCATTTATTCCAAGAGCTGTTCAGGGGAAACAGAGAAGCCAGGAAGAGGTTGTGGAGCAAGCTTGGCATCCTTCTGTAACAATACTGTGGTGGCCTGGCACTGAGTTATCACCTCACTTCAATAGTGTAGCACCAGCATTTGCAATAAATCTGAATGTGTATGGCTTTTTTCCCTCAATCATCAGCACTTCTCTGAGAGAAAAGAACCTGGCTCTCAAACACTCGTTTTATTTTTCAGGAACTAAAAACCCCAAACCTTTTGCTTCCCCTTTTACCCCCGCATGTAAGGAGAGCTTCACGCTGTACAGCTGCACCACGGGCAGACACCCGAGTGGGCTGTGTGAAGGTGGTTACAAAAGGTCACTGCAGAGTGCTCAGTGATCTTCCAGCAGCGTGGGGGATGCATATTTTCTTGGAATAATCCTCTCTTTATTACCCCATAAAACTGGCAGGAACTCCTGCTTTGTATACAGCAAGTCAGCTCGATGATATTGACGCCAGCCTAGAAAGTTATTTTGGTTTGCTCTGCCAAATCAGATCTCAAAAATCAGGTAAAGCTAAACCAGATTGCAGTGTTTACATTTTATCTCCGTAACATTTTAATTGGAAACATTTGATTTCCAGCGCTGTGGGATACCCAAAGAGCTGTTTGGGCCAGCGGGCCCTCTCAGAACTGTTTCCCTCTGTCCCTGGTAAATGAAGTGAGTTGTGAAAACACGGACGTGGTCACTGTGGAGCCACAGCTGGATCGGGCTGGGTGGGCTCAGACACCGAGGAATGGAAGGTGAGGCCCTGGGGTGTGTGCCCAGGGTGGGCTCAGATACCCAGGAATGGAAGGTGAGACCCTGGGGCGTGTGCCCAGGGTGGGCTCAGATACCCAGGAATGGAAGGTGAGACCCTGGGGTGTGTGCCAGGGTGGGCTCAGACACCGAGGAATGGAAGGTGAGACCCTGGGGTGTGTGCCAGGGTGGGCTCAGACACTGAGGAATGGAAGGTGAGGCCCTGGGGCGTGTGCCCAGGATGGTCTCGGATACCCAGGAATGGAAGGTGAGGCCCTGGGGTGTGTGCCAGGGTGGGCTCAGATACCCAGGAATGGAAGGTGAGACCCTGGGGTGTGTGCCAGGGTGGGCTCAGATACCCAGGAATGGAAGGTGAGACCCTGGGGCGTGTGCCCAGGGTGGGCTCAGATACCCAGGAATGGAAGGTGAGACCCTGGGGCGTGTGCCAGGGTGGGCTCCGGACGCTCCCACCTGCAGGGACCCCGAGGTGCTGCTCAGGTGTCACAGGGCACAGCAGCCCTGCAGCCATGGCAATCTCCAGCGTTTATCCCCTCTCTCAGGACAGCTGATGAGACTGGACCCCCTCTGCCCTCAGCTCCTTCCCAGGAGCAGAAACCCGGTGCCAAGGCAATTCCCAAATGGAATGTCACACTTCAGCGCTGCTGCCGACCGCTGGAGTGGCCCAGGAATGTTCGTGGCTGCACCACGGCCAAATCTATTTGTGTTTCCATTCCCAAAGCTCAGCAGACAGTGCCCACAGATGGAGACAGGATGTCTGACTGATGTGCCTTCCTCACATTCTCAAAATTACACAAATTATGTGAGCAGGAGTGAAAAATTTAGTTTCTTTCTCTATTTAACCCCATCAGGGGTTGTTAAGAGTTTTTTCACATTCCCTTAAACATGCATCTTGCTGGGATCTTCCAGACATGCCTCTCACAATCAATTCTCTGCTTTAACTGGGGATTGAATTATTAATGATTTCATCTTCTCAGAACTGCAGTTCTTCAGTAGAAAACTCTTCATGCTCAAAAGCCCAGAGCTGTCAGTGAAAATGCAGTGATCTGATGCTCAGTTGTGATTTAAATGGCGAAGTCACTGCAAGTTCACATGGTTCATTATTGACTGGGGGAGTATAATTATCTCCAATTCTAATTAAGAAGGCAAACCCCCAGCACAGGGCACTGAGGGCCCTGTGAGCCCGAGGTTCAGACACACTCAGCTGCACAACCCTCCCAGCC